CCCCCGCCGCGGGCGGCGCGGGGCGGGCGGGTGATGCTCATGGCGCGCACGAAGGAGGCCGCGGACTGCAGCGCCGGCGGCGGCTGAGGGGCCGGCGGGCGCAGGAGCTGGGGGCGGTTGGGTGCGGGCGGCCACGGGCGTGTTATGGGCAGTACACCGAGGGGAAAGGCGGATGGCAGCACTGCCAAAGGTTGCAGGCTTACTGACTTGCATGGCCGACACGCTTTTCACCGGGTGCGGCGCGCCTTCCGGCTGCCGCCGGGGCTTTACATGCACCCCACCAACCAGTGAGCCCCGCAAAAGCATTCCGAGCCCAGCTTCTCTTTGCAGAGCGCTCCCGACGCTCCAAGCTGTCCGTATTCCCCCTCCTTGCCAGCCTGCTGCCGCGCCCCGAGCCCCGTTCTCACCTGCGCCTGCGCGCCCGCCGGCAGCCGCGCCCTGACTGCGCCTGCCACCCCCGGCAGCTTCGCCTCCGCCTTCCCCACAACCCCGACGCCCGGCGCCACGCGGCCGCCCTTGCCCCTTGGCGGGTCTTCCGGGAAGCTTCTGCCCCCCAGGCTGCCTAAATGGACCACCGCCATGTCCACCGGCTGCCCCGACCCTTTGAACGTGAACTTCCCGGTGTGGACGACCACGATCGTGTCGTCCTCGGTGGGAAGATGCGGGGCAGCTGCCGCCCCCGCCGCCGGCCAGGCAAGCTGGCCCGCTTCCGCGGCGGCGGCCCCCGCGGCGGCGCCGCCGCCGTCGGCCGCGCCGGAGGCGGGCAGCGCTGGCGGCGGCTCCCCCGCGGGCTGCCCGTTTGTGAAGTGGCTCCCCAGGGGGGGCGACGTGCCGGAGTGCCGCCGCGGGCTGCCGCCCTCGCTGACGGGTGCGAGCGCAGAGGGCACGCGCCAGTCAGACGGCGGGGCCGGTGGCGAGCCTGAGGACTCGGGGATCCGCCATGGCGCCCCGCCCTCACCAACAACCCCCGAGGCGCCGTCCAACTCCCCGCCGCGCAGCGCCGCGCCGCCTGGCGCGGCCAGCGGCTGCGGAGGCGCTGCGGCGGGCACGGCGCCGGGCGCGTCGGCGC